CATTGCATGATGAACTTGAAGAGAGAATATTGCTTGGATCAACGGTTATTAACGCATTAAAAAGAATGCTGAGAGTGCCCGAGTTAAACATAAAAAATTCACAGTTATAAATACAAACAATAAACAGCAGTAAGGCAGAGATGGAGACTGGACATTATAGATCACATCGTTTTGTACCACTAGGGCTCAGCACTGGCTGACAATCAGGCAGCTACATTGTGGGGCTACCTGTAATCTTATGTCAAAATTACTAATGAAAGAAATCCTACACTACAGAAGGTTAATGGTAAACTAAAATGCTACAAGGAGACCTATGAGACAATTTTATGTGCTTTGTCACAGGTGACCACTATCCACTTGTTTCAGCAAATACTTGTGAGAAAATGGGACACTGGATAGAGAGGGCAATATGTTAACAACAGAGAATGCTGATATTGAAACTGTTAAAAGTTCACCTTTATCATATAGAGCAGATTACAACTGACTATAAAGATTTGTTCCATGGCCCGGGATGTCTACCAAGAGAATACCATTTAGAGATGGATACAACTGTGACACCAGTGCAGCATCAGCAACATAAAATGGAAGCTCCTCTTAAAGCTGAGCTAAAGGAAATTAACTGACAAGAGTACTCAAAAAAGTAACAGTGCCAGCACCATGGATAAGCATGATTGTTGAAGTTAAGAAGCCAGGCAAGGTATGAGCTTGTAGTGAAGCAAAGGATTTGGATAAAGCATAAAAGCGTTCATATTATTCAGTGACTACTGTAGAGGAAGTGCTGCCAAGTCTAGCAAAAGCAAAAGTGTCCTGAGTCTTAGGTGTTAAAGATTTATTCTGGTAAATCAAGTCAGATACAAGCAGCTACCTCACCACAGTCTGGATGCCTTTGGGTGGATACTGGTGGCTGTATCTGCCTTTGGGCCTGGCCACTGCTCCTGAAAAATACCAGGATAGAAGCAGTAAAGGGCCTGCCAGAAGAAGTGGTCATTGCAGATGACATTTTTGTGCATAATTTTGTGGACTCTACAGAAGAAGCTTTAGCAGATCATGACGAGAACTCGATAAGGCTCTTAGAAAGAGCAAGAAGACTGAAACTAAAGTTAAATACACAAAAGTTAGGACTAAGATTATTATCTACATGGGGCATCTACTGACAGCTGAAGGTCTGCACCTAGATCCAGAAAATGTAAGAGATGGAGATGCCAAAACAAGACAGTGTATGAGTCTCCTAAACAAAAAACAAAATTGGTGACTGTGCATCCAGTCCTCAGGTACTATGATGTCAATGAAGAAGTAAAAGTTCAATATGATGCCAGTGATAGAAAACAATTAGCCAGTTGCCTTTGCATCTTGCACACGGTCACCAATAGAACAGAGATATACATACATTTAAAAGGAAATTTGATAAGTATATACATGGAAAAACAGCTCATCAACATTGAGTCTGATAATTTCAAGCCACTGGAAAGTATTTAACAAAAAAAACTCTGCAGTCATCTGCATGGCTGGACCGAAAGGAAAAGCAAAATACTCTCTAAAGCAAGCAAAATACGTTCTTGTATTAAAAGGGGTATAGACTCCATAGATAGAGACATCACCCTGCCCCTGTACAAAGCATTAGTAAGACCTCATCTGGTATATGCAGTTCAGTTTTGGGCACCAGTTCACAAAAAGGATGTTGTGGAACTGGAGAAAGTGCAGCAAAGGGCGACTGAACTCATAAGAGGCATGGAGAAGCTCAGCTATGAGGAAAGATTAACTGACCTGAATTTGTTCTCTCTGGAGAAGAGGCGATCAAGGGGGGGGCATGATCACCATGTATAAATACATAAACTGTCCATATAGTGAGCTTGGTGCCAAATTATTCACTTTAAAGTCACTGCAAAGGACAAGAGGGCACTCTTTGCATCTGGAGGAAAAGAGGTTGAACCTTTGCATATGGAAAGGATTCTTCACAGTTAGAGCTGTGAAAATGTGGAATAGACTCCCCCAGGAGATAGTTCTAGCTAGCTCAGTTAATTGTTTTAAAAAAATCTGGATGTATTTCTAAATGCACAGAATATTACTGGATATTGAATTCTTATAGGTATATTAAGCACAAGAGATTGGTGATCCAGGGAATATCAGATTGCCTTATGGGATCAGGAAGGAATTTTTTTCCCCTGTTGAAGCAAATTGAAACATGCTTTATAGGGTTTTTTGCCTTCCTCTGGATCAACAGTGGGTAATTGTAGGCATAGCGTTCTGTTTAGGGTTTTTTTTAAAAATTCTCTATAGGTTGAACTCGATGGATTTGTGTCTTTTTTCAACCTGACTAAATATGTAACTATATAATACTAATTTGTATTAAAGACTACTGGGGTTTAGAGATAAAATCAGTATACAGAATGAAATTCTATATAAAGGACAATGGGTAATTATACCTAAAATTATTAATTATACCCAAAAGTATGTGCCCAAAAATTATAGCACAAATCCATTCAGGTCACCTAGGCATAGATGCATGCATTTGCAAGACATAGGATGTGCTATTATGGCCACGAATAGGTCCAGACATAATTGCAGCAATAAAGGATTGTAACACCTGCAATGAATATCTATCCAAGCAGACACAGCAACCCCTTATGATACACAGATTATCAACTTTACCCAGGAGTAAGCTGGGCATGGACTTATTCTCTGTACCAGGACAAGACTACTTAATAATAGCTTATTATTATTCAGTCTTCTGGGAGATAGATGCCCTGTGTAGAATGCGGAAAGATAAATGTTAGTTGCCATGGAATACCCGATCTATCATCGCAGATGATGGGCCACAATGTCAGCTCAGAGTTTTACAGGTTTTTCAAAAAGTGAGAATTTGAACACATTGCATATTCTCCATATTATAGTCATGCCAATGACAAAGCTGAAGACACTTATATAGAAAGCCAAGAGAGATGGCAAAGATCTCTGGATTGGAGCAATACACCAATACAAAGTACCAAAAGCAGTCCAGTACAGAGACTTATGTCAAAAGTAACAAGAAGCCTCCATCTCACAACTCAAAAGCTTTTGTTTCCCAATGTAATAGAAGGGGTAGTAGACCAGCTCACAGTGAAACATAGAAAAGCAAACGTACACTAGGGTAAAGAAGCAAAGGAGCTTCCTGAGATGGAGAGTGTTCATACAACACTTGACTTCATAAGCAGATGGATATTAGTGCAGAAGAAACAGGAAATGTATTTGAACAACAGAGGGGAGAAGTTGTACAAATACCAACTTCAAGCCCAGCTGTGGGCTTACCAGACAACACTAAACTAATCAGAGCTGGAAATGACTATGGCAAATGCTACTACACTACACTACACTTATCAGAACACCTGCAAGGTATAACAACTTTGTCCTTTAACATTTGTTCTTTTTAGGTGCAGCAGCCCAGCATTAACCTCCCTGGCGGTATGATTATGGAGGATTTTAGCATGCCAAAGCTGTACATTGTTTTTCATGGCAATTTGTTGTTTTATATTGTAGGCCTGTAATTCTTAGTAAATCTTAGGAATAACTCACCTAAATCTGTCCAAACAAGAGTCCAGCAGACATCCCGGGTATGATAAAGTTTGAAACACGAAATCATAAATTACAATATAATAAATAATTAGAAAAAATTATAATATAATAAATATTTATAAAAAATTATAATATAATAATAAAAATAATGGTCCAGTAAATGGGAATTCTGGGGGCGCTGCCTGATCCGTACCACAGTCAATAGAGTAAAAGTGCAGGCCGGGCACTGGACAAAGCTCTAGGGACAAAATTGAAGTGAAATAGTTTGATAAATATATGTAATTATAGCAGATTACATTGTATTGTGTGTATTCTGTGTAAATGTCATGTTTTCACTTTTGAATTTCCTGCCGGCTCCGCCCTCCGCCGTGACGCCCGAAACGAAACTAAAAGCTGAATGCCGGCATCGGCTGGGCGAACACAGCAGAGGACACCGCGGGCTCGCAGGGACAAGGTAAGTGACACTTTTGCGCAATCCCGAGTGTGGCTCGGGGTTACCGCTCTTGGTACTGAAAATTAACCCCGAGCCACACTCGGGAATACCACCAGGGAGGTTAAGAAGCTTTCATTTGCAAACAAGGGAGATGTTGGGGTTGATTTACAAACTTTTCCCTTAGTTTGGTGAATGAGGTGAATGGTTTTTTTTTCCATTGCAAGTACAGGTGAAACTCGAATAATTAGAATATCGTGCAAAAGTAATTGCAGTAAGTGCTGCAAAAGGGGCCCAAACCAAGAACTGAGTACATATGCATGCTTGTACTTTTCAGAGGTCCGATATTGTTCTATGTACAATCCTTGTTTTATTGATTGCATGTAATAATCTACTTTTTTGAGGTTGTGGATTTGTGGTTCTTGGGGTTTTCATGAGCTGTAAGCCATAATCATCACAATTATGACAAATCACGGCTTGAATTATCTTGCTTTGCATGTATTGAGTCTATCTCATATATTAGTTTCACCTTTTAAGTTGCAAAGTTGTTTTTGTTTTTACACTGATCTGACTCTCATGAAATAATAGTTAATCTATAGAGAGCGATAAACACTTGACAGGGGATCTAAACCAGACTTTCTCAACCAGGGAGCCATGGCATAATTGGGTGCCTTCTGGCTTTGTCAGAGGGTACCTTCAAAATTTCACTAAAGGTGGGGGACTCTGATTTAATGGGGGCTCCGAATGTGAATGAGGGCTTCTGATGTATACAAGGTGCTTCTGATGTGAAACAAGGTGGACTCCAATGTGAAAGGGGGAAACCCCACAATGTGTTTTTTTTCCTGACCCCTGTGTAACATAAGGGGTTGGTATTGATTTTTGAGGGGGACTACATGTAATTTTTTACATTTACTTTTTTTACATTTTAGACTGGGATACCTCAAGATTTTGCATACTTTTAAAAGGTGCTACAACTGAAAAAAGGTTGAGAAATGCTGATCTTCAAAGACGAATTGTTTACCTGTCCAAACACTCCAAGTGGATTTCCATACTCATCACTGACACATATACTGCAGTCTGCTGATGAAGAGATGATCAGTAGACATTGGCTGTTTGTACAAGTTTCTATGTGTGTAACACAATCATTGTGAGGCTGAAATGATGAAACCAAGGTAGGAAGTTCATCACTCTTGTGTTCGCTGTAGTCAATGCAGTAGTCCTGCAACATTTGGAATTAGATGGCATACAGTGATTAAAATATAAAACAATGACATATCTTCAGGTCAGAGTGGATATAGTAATTCAAAAAAGCAATTCTTATTTTAGCAGTAAGCAACAGAACAGAACTTAGAAACAGAAAGTACTTGACTGAATTGCTAAGGGGAATATAAATAATAATGTCTATATTTAATGCAATTACGATTAAACTAAAGATAAAGACACAATCAATCCTATATTTCTAAAAATATCATGTGAAAAGTTTATGTCTAAAAAATGGAATACATTTTAAATATGACATAATCCGGGTTAAAGTTGCAGGAAGTCTATAACTTTAAAAAAAAAAAAAAAGGAATACTAAATGGATATGACTACCAAATAATGTAAGGTCTTACATTTGTAGGTTGGTGGGAAGATACCTTAGAAAAGAGAACAGACTTCTGTGTGCAAGAAGGACTGCACACCTTAACAGAGACTTTACCATATCATCAACTATCATTTGTTCTACTTAAATCCCACTCTCTTGTGTATGCCTTATAGTGCGCTCATCACTTACACAATTTAGCTTCTTTTGGGAAGAGACCTTAGCAGCCATTATCCTGTTCCTTCGTTCAGGGCTTGTCCACAACAATAAAGAAGTAATGTGCATGCTCATTTTTAGAATGTCTCTTTCAAGGTCAGCCAACATTACAGAACATCAGTCAATGTAACCAGTGTTTTATAGTCTTTCAGGCCAAAACAACATTACAGAATAGATCACAAAAATGAGTACAACAGCTACAAGATTGAGAAAACATGCTCTGAAAAAAAGGCATGCCCCTTCTACCATTTTGTTGTCACTCCACAATTGATCAAAGATGCCAGTGTCCATGGGCAGCATTTGAAATGATCTTTGATGTATTATGGTTTATATTCTTTTTAGCAATAGAAAAAAGTATCGCAGCAGAACATATTAGAGCCAGTTACGTATACCTGGTTTGTTACATTCTCCGAAAAATAATTTCAAATACAAAATACTGATGTATATACTGCTGCTAATAGTCACACTTCATACATGTTTTTTTTATTTTAGTTTTCGATAGAGTTGGAAAGGATCTGTGCTTCTGTTAGGACTTTATTGCTGTATGTGCAGCATACCCCCACTGGCTTATGTTCCAGAACTCAATATTTGTAGTTAATGTCCTAGAATCTTTGTGTGTCTGTCTTCGTGATAAATGTGTGCTCATAGCAACAGTGAGTGTGTTTAAAGCCTGTGCTGCCACCAGCCTACGCCTGACATCGGTGGCAGCGATATAGCTAAGGCAACCAGCACTTTAAAAAGGAATGGCAGCCTGCATATTTCTCTCACTATAGGCTCTCCATATATTAAATTCTGTTTAAGACAACTAGCATTTTAAGAAGTGAGCAATGAATGGCATTCTGCAAACCCCAGACTGCCCATGCACATATAATTTTTTTCTAAATTTTTTTGAGTGTCCTGAGTGTCCCAGAACCCTAGAACACTCAGCATGCAAATTGGTTTAAGCTGGGACTTTGCTTTCCCTCCAGTTACCTTAGTGGAATGTACTCACAAGGCCGACCAATTGACAGACACACCCACACACAAACTGCCAAATAATTAAAACTCAGTGTCACAATTTGAGAATTGGAGCACCAGGAATAGTAAACTCTGGGATTTGTGGAGCAGTATATTGTGACTGAATTAGGAATATGCAGGGGTACAGGTCTCTGAAGATGCAGGGACAGTGTGACCGCACAACAAACGTATGTGTGTCAGAGTCTCAGGATCTAAGGAGCCGCCTGGTCTTCACCAGAGCCACTGATGGTGTGGATGTTGAGCTGCGGGTCAGCTCCCAGGTTGCAGCTCTCTGACACACCTGTGCAAGCACAGTGCCAGTGGGTACTCAGGGACCACAGCACAAAAGACAAGACACAGGGAGCAAACAGGATACAAGGTACAAAAAGAGGCACTGGAGGTAAGACGAAGGGAACCTACGTGACACAGGGAGCAGGTAACAGAAGGGACAAGAGAAACACAGGAAGGACAGGTGCAAGGGCTCTCTGAAGGACACGATACCATCCACTAGTAGAACAAGCAGGATCTCACACAAGGAATAACAGCTCACACTGTGAACATGTATAGCAGGGAATATGCACACAAGGGATGGTGCGAGTACAGGGCTGTACATGCAGGAAAAATTTACAGAACACAGAACTACAGGCACTCTAGGTGATATGCACAGGGGAATGTACAGGAAGATACAAACAGAAATACACTGAAAACTGTGCAATGGGAGACATGCGTAGCACAGCCACGGATGCACCAGATGCTGTGCACAAGGATAGCACTAGAGGCATGTGCTAAGTACAGGCACACAGAAGAGAGCACAGAGATGGAGGGAGGAATCATGCAAACAAGGTGGAAGTCCAGCACACAGGAACTAGAACAAATGGGAACACAAGAACCAAGCAAAGGGGAAATAGCCAACAGAGAGATCGCAAGCAAAGGGGAAATAGCCAACAGGGAGATCGCAGTCACAGGAGAATCAGCACAAAGCAGGGATCCAAAAAGGTATACAAGCACAGGAGATAACGGGAACCACAAGGGGTCTGACACAAGAAATACGACTTGTTGCTGGAACATAAAGCAACAAGTGAGAGAGTGCTAAATAGGGGAGGAGATGTGCAGATTGGCTGCAGCCCTGTGGAAAACTATAAGCTGACAGCCAAGCACCAGGGAGCAACATGAAAATCTGGCATAGCACTCTAACAATTGCTTTAGAGGATGTCATGCCCTAGGCGATGTTATGCACACATGGTGGACGTGCCCGTTTGTAGCTAGATTTTGGTCTAAGATATATAAACTCCTCTCCTCCATCTTTCACACCCCTATCTCAAAAGACCCCTGGCAAGCCCTACTTCACTTCAAAACTCCACAACTCTCACGGCCCCAATGGCAGTTGGCGAACTTCATATTTCTAGCGGCTAAGCAAACCATAGCTCACTCTTGGCGAAAATAGGCAATTTCATATTTGGAATTCAAACCTCGCATGCAAGGGTTCTTCATCAATGAGCACCTCTCCAGCATACTACTAGACACGAACAGGAAATTCCAAACCGTATGGGACCCTTGGTCTGCCATCTTCTTACCCACCCTTGATCCGATAACGCGAAGCCTCATTCACTAAACGCCATTTGAGCGGGAGTGCCCGGGCGGTAGTCACATCTGGCATAGATTGCCAGACATTGTGACACTCAGCTTCAACATAGACCTGAAAAATCACTGGGGGACACAGGACGTCAGAGACTGCTGGCTCCAAGGCCCAGCCCACCCACAAACCTGAACTTCCAATACTGATTCATCTGGCACCAAAGACCAGATTGTGTCTAGCCTGGGGGCCCAAGGATCCTGCTCTGAAGTCTGGAAAGTCCTTCCAATCTCATGAATGATTCTCACGATTAATTCCAGCCTGTTGAGCTGAGGAGTCCAGGGCACCCTGTTGGTGCATGGGACTTGGAAGTTGGAGGAGTCTCTCCTAACTGGAAAGTCATCCCATCAGGAATCAGTTAGACAATGCCATGGTGATGGCATAGCTCAATCATCTGGAGGAACCAGAAGTCTTAAAACCACGGTAAGAGAGGTAGAGAGCATCCAGTCCTGGAGAAAACTTCACATTCCAGCTTTGTCCTTGTCCAGCAGTTTACATCCCAGACACAAATAACTGCAGGTAGACTACCTCAGTCACCAACACCTGGACCCAGGGGAATGGTTCCTACACCTGAAGGTGTACAAGACCTTGTTTCACAGGTAGGAGATGTCTGATGTGGACCTCCCAACCTCCAGATTTAACAACAAACTGGACAGGTTTGTTACCAGGTACAGGGATCCTCTCATGGAAGCCGTGGATGCTCTGGTGGCACTGGATATATTTGATTAAGACCATTGTACAGGGTTTCACCCATGTGGCTCCCCCCTATGCGCTCCCCCATGACTCCATAGGATGTGAAATTAGTTCTCTCGACACTCCAGAGACCACTGTTTGAACCAATTAGGGATATCCCCCTTGCCACTCTTACTCATAAGGTTGTGTTTCTGGTTTCCATCACCTCTGCAAGTGTCTAAGCTGGTGTCCTTATCCTGTAAGAACCATTTCTGGTAGGCCTGTATGTACAGTATTTTGTGTCTACCTTGCAGTCACTGCTTCTGATAAAAAGACTGACTATCTTTTTGTCATTCCGGATGGTCCCAAAGAAGGGGAATATGATTCTCATTCCACCATTTCTCGTGGCTCAGACAGATCATCATTTTTTCACATTTTAAAGGCTGACATCTGGTCTTCTGTTCACATGTTCTCAAGGTTTCACCAGGTGGATGTTCAGGCCTCAAGGGATGCTAGCTTTGGGCATAAGGTTGGCCTTTTGAGCTGCAGGCAGCCCCCAATTCTGTTGTTTTTGTGGGCCTTTCCTTGTTTTGTTGCGGTTGCACACCCCTCTGATTGACTGCATTTGGACATCCTAATAGTCATTAAATTCCTATGTCCCTCAAAGGATCAGAGCTTTTTGATGAGAGATTTTGTTCTTACCATGAAATCCATTTCTTGGAGTTCACTGAGAGACACAGGTCCCACTCCTCTGTTTTTATGATAATGCTCTTGGCACTACTTTTATACAAAACTGTAAACATGCTGGGAGTAGGAGGATTGATACCAACTGGCCACATTTTTTTTTTCTAGTGTCCAAATCCCCCTGTAGGCAGCAGTTTGACCTGACAGTCTCTTAATTGCTGTATCCCTCAAGGAATTCTAAGAAATCAATTTTATGGTAAGTATAAAAATCCCATTATGTGCATCCTTGCAGTGCCTTTATGTTAGGTTGCCGTCATATGCTTAAAGAACAACTCATATGCAGCTCCTGTGATTGCTTCTTGTTGTTTACATTTTACTCTTTTAATGATACCAGGATGTATAGCTTTTGCTATACACCGATGTATATACTGTACTTCTGGTGCTCTGACAAGAAAGCTGCGGCTCTCTTACACAAAAGCTGCACTGCCCACCCCTCCTCTTCCCTGTCCTTTCACTGAACATTTTGTATTTTGTGAATGGGTTCATAGAAACCAAAGTGTTCTGTGAATGGACAAGAGGGGAGGAGGGGTGGAGAAATTACAGTGTGTCTTGTGTGTAGGAGAGCCACAAGTCTCCCGTCAGAGCCAGAAAAATAGCGAAAGCTACACTTCCCAACATGAATAATAGTGTAAATTATAAAGGACAACCAGCGATCCAGGAGGTGGCATACACCTCATTACACTTAACTATTTGTTACCCAGCAGATTTTAAATAAATATTTTTAATGGTGTTCTTTTTTAACTATATGACATATTTACTTTAAATAAAAATGTCAGTGTCCATTGTTTGCAGAACTTTTTACATTACCTTGATGTTCCAAACTTTTATCCACCCATCAAGATCGCCTGTAATAATATATGCGTTTGTTTTGTCCATGGCCATAACTATGAAACTAGCTCCCTCATGGGCTACAAACTCTGCCATTAACTGGTTTCTAAATATGTTCCAGAATCTAACATAGCCGGATCCTCCGCAAGACACCAAGTTCGCACCACCTGAAACAAAAGAGGTGACACTGAGATTAAAGCACAGGAAACTATAGCTGGTTGCATGTCTTAAAAATGTATATCCATACCATCTTGGCCCATACAATAAAAAGAACCTAATTTTAGTAGTAAGCTTGTCTTTTAATACTGAACTTAATTTTTTTAATATGTTACTCAAACTACACTACTACTACTATTACTACCAAATAAAGTTTCATTGTAAAACCTACTGTAGGTCACAACCATACTGTTTTGTGATTTTATAAGGGCAGAAGAAGGTTATAGCTTCTGTCAGGCTTTTTTTTGTCTTCTGTGTCCCTATTTGGGTCGTTTCACTATTATTTCTTGCCAGGAAAGGAAGTGGGAGGAAATCTCTACAACACAGAGAAAAAAACAAAAGTACATTTGCAGTATAGAAGGTTTACAATTCAGACAAGGTTTTAATGGCTGTCTGATGACAACCTACCCCCATTTATTAAATGAGTGCTATAGAAAGTTAAAGAAAACCTGTTTCTCAAGGTCACAGACAGAAAAAAAAGCTTTGCAACTCTTCTCCTTCCTAACTAAAATTGAATTCTTGAATTGTATTGTGATTGTAAGTCTTCCTTATATTGTAAAGTGCTGCACAAACTGTTGGCGCTATATAAATCCTGAATAATAATAATAATAATAATAATAATAATAATAATCTAACAAAAAAATTATGAAAAACAGTCAATAAAAAATCATATGACTTTAAGGTGGCTAAAACAAATTGCCGCAGTTAGGCTTAAAGCTGATCTCCAGCCTTAAGTCTTGAACAGTTGTGCAAGATCCTCTTCTGTATTGAATTGCTTACTCTAAATTCACTGCACATCATGAGCTTCCCTCAGTGAACATTCAAAGCTGCAACAAGTCAGAAAGAGCCCGCTTCATTTCCTGGCTGGAGGACGTCCTGCATCATCTAGCGCTTTCCTCCCCAGTCTTACTGTTCCTGGCCCACCCCTGGATCCATTGGATTCCAGTTCTTTTCATTGCAACGCAATGTGCATAAACACAGCATGAAGTGAAGGGGAAAAAAAGGAGGGCCAAAAGGAGCTTGTAAATTTGCATTGCAACCCATAGAAAAATGCAACACATTACAAAAGCATGCATACAAAACTTCTTTAGCACACACAAAATACCGTGATTGTGGTCAGAACAACCCCTTCGCCCCCATTCACACATGATTGGGCACATTTTAGGGCAAATGTTTATGATTTGTTTGTGTGTTTTATTCCACTTTTCCATTGCCAAAAGTGCTGGTAAATGTGCATTGCAACGCATTGAGAAAGGCAACACATTACAAAAGCATGCGTACATACCTTCTTTAACGCACACAAAATGCAGGAATAGTGGTAAGAACAACCCCTCAGCACCCATTCAAACATGAGTGTGAACATTTGAAGGCAATTTTTATGATTTTTGCGGGGCGTTTTATTCCACTTTTCAGGCTTGAGCATTTTTGTTTTAGCCAATGGAAAGCTAGTGACTAGGAGGAGGAAATGGTTGTTAGGTGCAAAATCGCATGTAAAGCTCATGTTATGCATATTTTTCAGGTGCTCCCATTGAAAGCTATGGAGTTAGAAACATGCAATTCTGCCAAAAAAAATGTGTCTTTGCTGGGATCTTTGAGAAGGAATAACTTCACAATAAAAGTAGCGAGAGAGGTTATTGTGCAGGTCCACTTTAATGATTTTTAATAGTTACACAACATAGTTATAATAGGTACAGTATATATATATATATATATATATTAGGGATGCACCGATACCGATACAAATAGCTAAAAGGGTAAAAACATGTCTATAACTTATACAGCAAGACTATAAATTAAAGCGAGAAAGCTGAGGAATCAGTCTTTTGTGTGAAAGGAAAACAAAAAGGAAAAAGTTGGCATTGAAGCCGAAAAGTTTTGACAACACAAAAGAAGAAAACAATTTTACGAGAAGCACGGAGCCAGAGGCAAGGTAAGAACAGAGTGAGAATCCTACTACAAAATACAATTCTGTACAACAAGGCTGTCCAGCAAATGGCACATTATAATAAGTAACTCATTTTATTTTCCGAGTATGTCCTTTATGATGTAAAATGAAGAGTACTTTTCATGAGTTTTGTGCGTTATGTTCTTGTAAAATGGGTGGTATACCAGTTGCCTGGCTGTCAGTGGCTTTTTTCAAAGCCACTGACCCTGAACCAGCAGAAAGTTCAAAATGGGGTCAGAACTCCTGAACTACATATTTCCAAATCAGTTATTCAGAAAGTAATTAAGCCTTTGTTTCAGTATGGCAGCCAAAGAAATAGTATTTTCACAAAGAGGGATCACTGATGAAAAGCTCAATAGTTCCTCAGCACAGGTTCCCTTTTAAGTAGCCTGCTGTATCTAGTTGCCTGACTATTGTGCTGGTCCTCTCCCTTAAAGTGGCCCTGTCACTTTTAAACTTAGGCAAGATAGACCTGTAAAGGAACAGAGTACATACTTACATTTGTTGCTCTCCACGCTGGTGAGTGCTGATCCGTCTGTAAGGAATGGTCCCCCGAAAGCCACTGGGGTATCAATCTCCTTGGTCCCCCACATCACTTACTGGTTCTCTCTTTTGACCTCCATGTCACTACTGTCTCCTGATCTCAAACAAGTATGCACCTCACAAGTTCTGATTTCACTTTATGTCAGGTGTTCTTTATGTCTCTTATAGATTAATTTTCAAAAAACTGCACAGTACAGATATGCGTATATTGTTTGAGAACTATATCAGAGAGGTAGGTAGTATTACTTTTTAAATATATACTGTAACTGTGTGTATTATTGGTAGTTTTTGTTACATAAAGTAACATAATAGTTTACTGATATATCCTAAATGACCAATTAACATTCTTGTGTAGCCACTTGTCCCTCTCTCACAATGAAATATATATTTTCCGCATTTTATTTGTAGGTATAAACTCTTTTTTTAGTCTGTCTGGTTTAGTGGAATGTTAGGGTCAAATCTGAACAGCACTGATTAGTGGGCTGCTGACTTAATGCTTTGCCAGGAAGCTACATAAATATGTTGGGATTTATCAAAATTACATCTTGGTTGAAAACAATATCCTGATTTTGAAAGTTGACTTAAACCCAGATATTCATGTTTTCTCCATAGCTCCACCAGTGTGTTGCTTATAATTAAATCCAAAAGATTCCATATACTCACTTGCAAACCAGAGTGGTCTCATTCCAAGTTCCATTGGACCTCTAATCCCATTAGTTCTGGGTTCAATCATTGCAAGGGGTGAGTTATGTATGCACTAGAGCAGTCATTATCATGTGTTTTGTGGAACCCTGGGGGTCCCCCAGAAATCCCTAGGGGTGCCTTGAGCAATGGATGATTGACCTTCCATATGATAATGAATGCATAGTTCCTGGTTCAACACCACTTGGCAATGCTAGATGCATGACACCAATGATCTTTTTAACTGTCTGTAAAGGAAGGATTCTTTCCACTGACCCTAAATGTAATGTTTCCACTTAAGGGGCATCTTTTCCACTGACTTCCAATTAATTGGTTTTAGCTGGGGTTCCCTAAAAAACTGAAAATTATTTCAGTGGTTCCTCTGAAGTAAAGGGTTGAAAAAGGCTGCACTAGAGACAGAAACTGTGGCCGAGTCAGCCAATTAATCCCTCTCCCTGGCACAGAAACTGACACTTGTCACTTCAAGGAAGTTCTGTACAAGAAGCAGACTGCTGAGACCCAGATGTATCCGCAAAAGAGGCAGATGACTGACAGCAAAATATATGGAGACTTTTAGTTTCATATATAGGCAGAAAAAGCTTCAGGGAGAACATTAGTATCTGGGGTTAGATATGCTTTAAATTAGATTATTTCATTTACAAAAGGTAATACTAAAAGCTGCATATGAAAACAAACCACTTGAAGTCATTTACTGAATAAAACGGTGTGATGAGTGGGTAAACTTTATTCACTATCAACCTTATTTATTCCGAAAATTGACCCAAGCGGCTTCTAATAATGTATTTCAATGACTATTTATTAGGTTGTTTTACTTTTGTTTATTCCCCATCAGTGCATGTTTTTTTGAGTTTTGACAGTATGTCTCCAGTGTTTTTGTAAACCTACCAATTATACACTTCTGAAAAGAAGGCTGCTCAGCCAGGTCTGTACAAATGAGATTATGCACAGTGTGCGCGGTCATTGTACACCGCTGTGTTCGCTATCCAAAGTCACAGTGTCTGTAGCTACTACAATTCTTTCCTCATTATTTCAAATCTATAAAATTAAGCAATCTTGAAATTAGCTCTGACTTAATGAACGCTGTTCTCTTCAAAGTGAACAATATCAAAGCAAATTAATTGAAGACATGGGTCAGATTTTTGAATTTCCACAAATTAAATTAAGCACAAAATGCTATTTGTCATGCTGCTTTGGTATACGAGTTGTGTATACAGTATATAGGTCATTTATTTCACTAAATTGATATTTCTTATATTACACTGTATTTCTTGTTACCAGCTTCCCAATGTGATTAACAGATATTAACGTTATGTATTTTGTCGATGATATTTCTGTATGTTATCATTTAGCTGTTATCATAAAACGGTTTGCACTTATATGACAATAACTATCATTTTTTTAGTTTTGTCATTGCAATTGTTTCATTCATTCTAATCTTCTGTAAAATCTTATGATCATGTGAAAATAAACCCATTAGAGATGACTGCAATTTCATTATTGAGTATGGTAAAAAAAATGGTGGCTGACAACTATACAGAGAAAAGGTACCATCTATAGGCACAGTCCTATTGTGCCTAATAGTACATCCAACCCAGTTCTTAACCTTTATCACTCTAACAAAAAGCATAAAAAAGTCTTGGCTGGAGTTGGGTTTTAGATCATTCTGCAGTGGATTTCTGTTGCAAGTTCTGTGCCAACATGCTACTTTGTTGATATGACTAAAAGCCTTTGGACCTCAAGAAGTGATTATGTAGTGGGGGCTTTGAGGGTAAGAACTTATTTTACTGATTAACTCTTAAGGGGTATTTTAGTAAAAATAAATCTGATGGGTTGCTATGGGTCACGGTCTCTTCTACCATTTGGAATGCTTTTTTTTAGCCAGTACAAGGTAGAGGAGGTACTGTATATATATTTTTCTTACTAAAGGTAAGGAATGGTTATTATACTTATGTAACTGAAAATAAGAGAATAAACATTGATAAAATATATGACAACCCAATCACTAAAATCTCATAGATGCTGTAGGGTCAATTTGTACTGTTGTGTTTTTATGCACATGTCACAATGAGCTAAAATGCATGTGTCTATGTTCCCAATAAAAAAATTAGTGTCTGTTCCCATGCCTACACTGCAGCGTATTTTGTTCTGTATGTTGTCGATTTTGTTCTGTATGTTGCGTTATAAAGTCATTGGCAATGCATAATTATGCATTGTCAACAGGTACTAACAAGTCTTGGTCAATGACTGTCAACTCTATCTACTCCAAACTCTAAATTCGAAAATGCATTGGACACGTGCGTAAAAGTGCATTACTAATGCACGTCAATGCACAAAGGGAACACAGATTGACGAATAGGAATGCACCTGCTTGAAGGTCCCCACACACCTTATGATAATCGCGGGAAATCCCGCCATCGTACAATTATTGTAAGGTGTGTGGAAGCCGTGCGACCTCTACTACTGTAAGGTCGCACGACTTTAAACTTACGGACATGTTCGAAAACCCGCCGAGCATCGTACAGTGTTCGGCGGGTTTGTGGCATGTCTGTACGATAAAAGCCGCACAGGCCGGTGTGCGCAAGCGCACACTGCCCGTTTGGCATTGCGGTCATTGGAAGCCCGCCCCTCAGGGGGCATGGCTTGCGATCATCGCAAGTACGATCTGCCTATGCAAGATAGGCAGATCGTACGTTTTTTTTTAAGTACCTTACAACCATCGCAAGACAAAATTCTTGCGATGGTTGTAAGGTGTGTGCCCAGCCTAACGCTACAAAAAAACCCACCTCTACGCATATGCATAGATCCAACTAGGCCTCCAAAAAATATATGTATAGCTAAAACTTTTTTATTATTTATGAATAGCGTAGAGATGGGTTAATACCTTGATCAGTTTATTTTTTTCTGTCTGCCCAGTGCTCCACTAGCATGATTCCCTTCACTCGTCCTAAAGACTCAACAGGAAGTGAGAGAAAATCCTCATTGGAAGATTCTTGTGGACCTCCCTCCACTTTCTTTCTTTCTGGCAATAGTCACAGGACAGAAATGGTGAATCTACCTAGATGATCCCAGTCAGCAATAAAAACCTCAAAGAGGTTCTAATCCTTTCCTATTTAATTCAAAACAAAAACACATTTGGTCATACATGTCATTTCAAAAGTCATTTTCAATGTTTTTAAATCTGCAGCTTTCTGTCCCTGTCTCCCAAATGTGTTCCTGCATTGTCTCCCTTTTGCACGAGCTGCCGATAGAGACTACAAGTGTCAACCCACATTCCAGAAATATGGTGTCACCACTAGGATAACTACTTTGAGACGTGCCATGCAGCCATTGTTGGTGCGCATGCATATAGACAAGAAGTGGGTGCAGGAGATCAGCAGCACTAAGGTGTACCAGAGGCTAGGAATAAAAGGTGAAAACAGGTATATTATTTCATAATCAAATGGCAATAGTTTAAAATACGCCGTGTTTTAGCAAACTAAATGTCATAGAGGTTTACATCTACTTTATGTCATTAATGACATCATCCCTCATTCTTATGCATCATGCCTCACTTATATGCCTTAAGAAGTAACAGGCTGAAATTGTTAAGGGAAATAATATGGCCGCCAGCAGGAAAAAAAACTGGCTGTAGCCAATCTGTGCAGCAATAGGAATGTGTTAGAATATAATCTGCAGAAAGCTTTCACCTGTTGCTGAGATATGTTTTCTGGCCCCGAGGAAAAACAATCTTGTTACAGTGTTATTGCTGTCAGAGTCTGTGTTGCAGAAGCCGCTCAGTGAGCGTGTATATCTTGCAGAGGATGACGAGGATAGACTTCTTTTACCAGCGCTGCGTAGCTGAGAGTCTGAAATGAAAACCATTTTTAGATTTCACCTTATAAATGAATATTGTCAAGGTTTATCAATGCCATATACTGCCAGATCAAGCAAGACGCTCCCTTACTGCTTATAGACTTAGCAATACATGCTGCTTATTGTATTTATACAGTATTAAAGTGTTATGTCACCATCTTGAGGCTGTTGCCATACAGAGCCATACACATCTCCCCACCCAGCTCTTGGCAAACTAGGACACTCTGGCCAGTGTCCTGCCCAGCTCCTGGTAACCAGTGACATCAGTGAGCTCGGCAGGATGCCAACTCTTATTAGCCTGCACTATCCGCAACAGAACGTGCACCACCAGCAGACCCTCCACTCCCAGCCCACCCGCCTCAGGCAGCAAAATGGCTAGGCACACCCTTGATTAAATGTATAGCCAAAGCAGTTTTTTGTATGTTTTGGATAGAGTAGGGAATCAGGGTATTTTTTTTTGCAGCCTGTGCCAGGAGATTTCCCTTCACTTCCTGTCTTGAAATAAAAACAGAAAGGGAGAGTAAATTTCCCTAAAGAAGGGAATTTCCCATTTTAGACAGTTGTCACTGTAACTGGTGTCACCATTAGAGGATTTCCCCTAAGATTTTGCTTTTATGACAACTCTAAAATTTAGGATTTTCCTTTACTTGTCTTGGTGTCAGTGGGGGACCAGAGGTCTAAATTTCCACAGCTGGGACATTTGTCATAATACACTTTAACCCTTTTTTTTCCATTAAGCCATCTTTCTGCAAACAGGCTTACCAGCCATGGTTTTTACTCATACAACTGCACTTCATTTTTCTCTACTATTTTAGTTACTGAATCAATGCACTGGCCTTATTGGTGTCTTGCATCATAATGACACCAGGGTGCATGGCCTTATGGGTGTCCTGCATCATAATGACACCAGGGGGCGTGGCTTTCTGGGTGCCCTGCATAATAATGACACCAGGGTGAATGATATTGGCACCAGAGTACATGGCCTTATGGGTGCACTGCATCAAAAGAAACTCAAGGCACCCGTATAGTCATGCCCTGTGCCATAATTATATAACAAAAATTTGTCTGTTGTCCTATTCACTCAATGGTGAGAGGATAGAACAGAACCCTGCTCTCTGAAAGGATGTCATGGTGGGAGGAAAGGGCCTGAGCTCCAATACAGAATAGGAAAATAGACTGGTAAGGGGTCCAAAGAACCCAATTACCAGTTCATTTCTACCTGGTGACACACAATAATTATTTTTTGAAGCAAATTGCAGGCTCAGTATTACTTTTCTCTACCAGGAGCAGGATGAAAGCCCCAGAGTCTGAACCTTTAAGAATGAGTCAGCATTGGCATCTCCCATATATATGCCATCACAGGTTCACTTTATTTATCACAGGCGTAAATGGACCATCTAAGATGGAAACTGGAGATCCAGTTTAATGGAATGTTATGACTCGTAAGCAATTTCCTTAGAATTCCTTAGTAATAAGAATTTATTCTCAGTTAGTCTCTGAATGGTTATTTCAACCCAGGGCTGTTAAAATCAATGGTAATGGAATAGATGTGCATGAGGTGAAGCTGCAAGGTGATCATTCACTGCTGTGTATTTATGCATGCAATTACCCACAATGCTTTGGAACAGCAAGGAAATATATTTCCATAGACACAATCTGCTGGATGTAATTTCAGAGAACAGAGGCAGTGAACATATTAAATTATAGTTAACCCAATAAAATGTACTTGATAGAAGTCAATTATTTAAGCAGGTATTTTATTTTCTTAATAACTTAATGAGTTGTAGTGTCATAAAATTGTTACATCTTTCATTCTTTGGCAAAATACAAGTATCTCATCCATTCTAATCTGTGCCTTTGAGAATGTTAATTACATCAACTTAATTCTAGAAACCTATACATTGCATATGGAAGAACTATGCAAATGTTTTTTTTTCATGGCATCATCATAATTAAGGTTGAAGTACTGTTATATTAATTATAATGTACTTGATCAGGTTCTTTATTCAATTAAGTTGAAGAAGCAGGAAGCAGACTGCATGACAGGGAGTAGCTCAGCTGCCTGACTGAAATGAGAACAACATAAGGCACCTTAGACTTGAGTAGTGAGCTGCAATTACACAAAGTATAACTAAACTGCGTTACACACTTGCTTATTTAAATGCTTTCAGAAACAGAGGCACTTAAACTAATATGCTTTGATACTTCAAAATGGGGAACGGAGGGCAAAACAGAACACTGAAAGCACCCATTTACACATTTGAGTGCGTTCATACATGCATTTTCATGCATTGCATTAAGATAGCCTATTTAAACACACAGAATGCAGGCTTCTCTCTTACTCCATAAGTGCATTAGGGTGCCATTCAAAATGGATAGGGACACACATACAGCACAATCCTAAGCATTAAAGTTAGGGTTTTGAGCCTGGCCAAATATTTCTGTACCAAAGAAAAGCTGCAGAGATTTACTAACTACCCAAAATTACCTAGAAAACCATATTTGTCAATGTGTCTGCAATATGGGCTGGCTGTATTGCCCCACAGCAACCAATCAACTTTGATCTTTACTTTTGCAGTGCATATTTCATTATTACAGATCTATCTTGACAGCAGAGACAGTTCTTATTCCACACGATAGATTAATCAGACCCCGGTGCTTACTTTTCTCGCAGGTTGTGCCTATGCACCAGTTAATGATAGATAGTGTGCTTGGACAGCACACTTTTGTGTCGTGTCACTCTGCTTGGCGCATGCATATTTCATTCCTTTTCTACCTTTACAAGTAAAATGTTGACCTGTGTATTCCTCACCTTGCACCTTATCAGAACAGAAGACACAAAGGCAGCTGACCTTCTTCTATAAATGCTATTTGTAGAGGTGCCCGGAAATGAAAATGTCAAAACCAAAATGAAAAAAAATAAATGGCCGGCCAAGAAATATTAGGGGTCTCTCTTTTTCTGCAGCCCCTGTTATAAATGAACAGTAATCCTCTATGAGTGTTCCTGTGCATTCATAACATGAGAACAGAGTTAGTTGACTATAACCACAATCATGAATGAACAGCAGGTGATGTAGATCACTTCCCATAACCATACTATGGGGTCTATTCACGAATCTGCCGAGGGCAGCCGAGTGAATGACCGATCAGAAGTGAAGTGAGCCGAACACTGTTCAGCTATTCACTTCAGGCTGGTACGGCTGATTTCAGCCGTACATCGGCTGAAATCAGCCGTAGATCGGCTTGCTTCCCGTGGCTAAGCATGTTCTGCCGACCCGAAGTGCAGAAGGAGTTCGATTCAGCCGATCCAGATGTTGGATCCGGCAGGCTTCTCACTGCTGTTCGGGCTATTCTTAAAAATGCCGAACAGCAGTGAGTGAATAGCCGAATGCCGCTGAGCGGCATTTGGCTCGGCTGTTCTGCTCGGTCCCTCAGAGGCACCGAGCAGAACAGAAAAAGAGTGAAAAAAGTAATAGCTGTTTGGAGATCAGTGTCCCTGGTTAGCAACCAGGGACGCTGATCTCTCTGAAAGTGGCCAGAGCCAGCCGTAAGATCACGGGCTGGCTCCGCCCAGCTGTCAGAAGCAGGCTGTCGGCCGGCCAATGGCCGGCCGCTCGGCCAGCTTCGGCTTTTAGCGCGGCTCAGCCGAGCCGATGCATATGCGATGTGACAGTTCTCTCCTCCCCGCTGGGACATAGAGCAGCGCCCAGCAGGGAGGAGAGAATAGGATGGATGCATCGCTATATCGGCAAGAAAATGGCACTTTCGACATTTTGCCAAAAGTGACATTTTCGCTCGATATGTTTCGGTGGCCGATATATCGGTGCATCCCTAGCTATTTTAATGGTTGTTGTGATAACCCACCAACCTCAATACTGCCATTAGGTCACTTTCCCTTAACAAGTTTTCATATCAGAAAAGTCAGAACAGTTTATCTGCATACTGGTTATGGGTTAGTGACTTAAACTATTGCAGCCAGAGAATTCATCATGACACCTAGCATTTGCAGAATAAGAAGTTATCAATGGCATATCTCTTAGGATAGGTTTCCTTTAATCGGTCATTATGCCACTGTTGTAGCTGGCAGCCATGTAAGTGGAAAAAGCTTTTGTTTGTGGAGTTAGACGTAAGGTCCAATTTTCCTGTTGGAGAGGTACTTGAGCTGTGTATTTAATGCTAGAGAGGCTAGAGTTTCTTTTTATGTTTTATCCCCGTGGAAACCTTGCCTGTGTTTTTTTTATGCTAGAAGTGCTACCTATGTTTATTTGATGCTGAGAATATAATAAAGCTGCTTGCTGCCAGTTTGAAACCAACACCTTCAGTCTCTCCAAGGACGACCTTACTGCTGTTCCCAGTGCCGTTTTCAATCAAGAAATCTATTGTCCTTGGGGATGATGTTACATGTATATTGTTTTATAAACATACTCCTTGAACACACACTGGGGTGTTCAAACTCATTTGTAAATACTATTTCAATCTTGTATTATAACATTGTTTCCATTTATTAAATAATTACCTGATTTTGACCTCAGAGCTCTATCAGGTTCAGGATGAAGTTTTCTTGAAGCGTTTTCTGTATTGTTATTCCAGACAACAATTTCTCCATCATAACTTCCTGCAAGTAAACAAATGTGAAATCGTAAATCAAAAATGAAAGGATCTGTATTTGTACCAATCTGAGATGAAATGAGGACAATACTTATGCATAATGAGGAAAGACATGGTATCATTTGTGACCATTTAGGTATGTTCTGCTCGATATTTGCAATTTTGTTTTGTAGCTTCTAATCTGAACAATGGGTTTTAGTTTAATAAAAGGCAAATAGGCTCAAGGTTCCCTTTCCCTTAAAGTGACGCAGGAGTTAAACCTTAAAAATACATTTGAGTACCTAAACTATTAACAAAACTGTATCTTATTTGTGTATCACTCAGATGTAGATCCTCAATTCATCTCTAAATTGTTACTGACACTGTCCCTCATTCCCGAGGGTGGCTACTTTTGTTCTCCATGGTCCCTGTGTGTGGGTAAAGTAGTAAAGTAGTCACCGTTCAAGGCTCCTTCCCGTGATGGACTACAATCTTACATTTAGTTTAGTAATTTGTATTGAGATTGTAGTCATCATGGGAGCAAGCTTGGAGGGGTGGCTACTTTACAACACACACAGGGACCATTGGGACCAAAGTAGCAACCCTCCAGAAGGAAGGACAGTGTCAGCACCAATTCAGAGATGATTTGAGGATGTACAGCCGAGTGATGCACAAATAAGATACATATTTGTTAATAGTTAGGGTACTTGAATGTATTTTTAAGATTTAATGTCTGGGTTTGGTATCACACTAACTTAGGGGGTTATTCACAAAGCTGCCGAGGGCAGCCGTGCGAATAACTGACCCGAAGTGCAGTGACCCGAACGCTGTTCAGCTTTTCACTGCAGGCTTTAAGGCTGATTTCATCCGTATACCGTCATTGGCTGGCTACGGCTGGGTTCGGGTAGGCCGAAAATGATCAGCATGCTCGGCCAGTCCGAAGCGCGGAAGGAGTTCGACTCAACTGATCCAACATCTGGATCGGCTGAGCCGAACCTCCGGCAGGCTACTCGCTGCTGTTCGGCCTATTCTCATAGAGGCCGAACAGCAGTGAATGAATAGAGCGGCATTCGGCTCGGCTATTCTGCTCGGTACCTCTGTGGTACCGAGCAGAATAGAAAAACTGTAAAAAAGAAGTAGGAAAAAAAGTAGAAACCGATTGGGCGGAGCTAGCAGTGTCAGTAGCAGGATGTCAGCCGGCCAATGGCCTCGGCTTCCACCTCAGCTCAGTCGAGCCGCAGCATAGGCCTTTGGCTATACTGAGCTGCTCGGCCAACTTCGGGAGCTGTAAGGGCTATAGTGAATAGCCCGTACAGAAGCCCTTTGGTTCTACTGAAGCGAAGGGGTCCTGGGGCCAAAGCTAGCCAAACGATCAGCCGAAGCTACGGCTAGATCCTTCGGTAGCTTTGTGACTAGACCCCTTAGTGTCACTATTACTAAGCAGATGAGGTGGAGCTCTGCTGACTTCCATCAGTCAATCATCAACAAGCAAGCATACTATTTTTTTGTATTTCAATTTCTTAATTGGGTATTCTTTTCAAAATTAATTTTTTCACCATATTCACTAAGCTAAGGAAATAATGTGTGTGTGTGTGTGTGTGTGTGTGTGTGTGTGTAATATTTTGTGTTTTTGCTCTTACATGTCTTCCTCAATTATGAAACTCTCTGGATGGGTGTAAACCTGTAACAACTCATAAAACTGAACTAAAACTAAAACTTGAATGTCCTTGCCTGTTGTGTTAGTTTTAATTCTTACACATTGTATGTTTCTACTTCTAATGCCAAGTTCAAGATTTGGAATCAAATATACATGGCACAATATGCTCTGTAGTGAATATTATGGGTTTGGGTTGATGGAAAACTGTACTGTATATTTGTACCGCATATTTACACTATGCCTATATTCTGTCTTATTGATCTATGTTGTCCTATTGATCTATGGTTGTAACTCCATCTCTTTCATATAAAACACATTTCTAGCTGTATCCATGGATCATTGATGGATTGCAACTAGCTGAGTTTTAACAGATGCATGGGCTGGCACATTTGTAGGATGCCAACATACATGTGTACACAAGTGTGGATGTGTCATACCTCTCTCAGGTGCTTTGTATATGTGAGTGCCAAACACCTCCCCCATTTCATTGAAATATTCCAACCTTCCCCTTCCGGAAAAAAAAAAGTTTGCCTGGGTTCTTTTATTTTTTTACTTATTGGTTGGTGACAGCATCTTCTGGACCTCTTTCTACAAGACCCTTCACATCATGGTATGATCAAGAACTAGACAGACAGTTGATCAATGTAGTAATCAGTATGCCTCAGCATATAGACACTCAGTACATGCTAATAATATGCATTGTTGACTTAATCAATGTCATTAGTATAGCATATGAACTCTGGTCACACTGCTACATCTCATCTGTGCAAATTACAAGCAGGTACAGAGTGTGTGCATGCTGTTGTACCCAGATGCAAGCAGCCTGACACTATGCTTATCTACCCCTTGAGAATAAATATTTGTGTATGATAGCAGATGGCATCACATCCAAAGAAATAAAAGCTAGCAATGTTGCTCAGTCTCGCTGTAAGTGGTAGCAATGGATAAAGCCATTTCCTTTTCACTTCTTCACTTCACTTTTGAAAGCATGATCCAGGTAGGAACATTTATAAAGAGCCACACATAGAATTAATTTTGGCTTGTTATTCAAGTGCCCAGACAGCTTAGAAAATGTAAAGTCTTGTTCACACTAGCCCGCTTGCAGGCTACTGTGCTTAGCTTGCAGGCTACTGTGCTGAATGAAGTCCAGTGGAGGTTGGTGTGATGCTCTAAATCAGTGCAGTTAATTTGATTTGGTTTGTAAAAAGTCTACACTCCATTTAGATCTCTGCACAGTATGGTTCACTGTAGTGACCTGCAGTGCCGCCCAGTGCACTGGAAAAAAATGTGCATGTCGGCAATTGTTCGCACCAGAGACATGGCATCTGCCTTGTGCTATGAATGGGTCACATAGAAATGTATGTGCCTATGGCAGTGGCTGCCATAGACCATTCACTGCAAAATGCCAATCACTGCTTTTAGGGATGCACAGATACCAAGAGCCGTACTTGGTACAAGTATAAGTACTGATATTTTCCAGCTCCAAGACTAGACTAGAGAAAAACTCAAAAGTTAGGAGGCAGCTATCATGTTTCAGGAGCATACAGGGCTCCTGGGATTTGTGCATCCCTGTTTTAATGCATGATTTGTTATATATATATATATATATATATATA